AAAAGAGAGGAAAATTTTCCCCCCCCCCCCCCCCCCCCCCCCCCCAAAAAGGGGTTTTTTAAGCAGCCCCGGGGGCATGCTTTTGTCCCCCGAAATTGGACGAGGTTTAAGCTGGGCCTAGGATTCGATCTGGCCGGCATATCGCGGAGGCCCACCCATTGTTGGGTTTAAAAATTTTTTGGAAATAAGTTTTTCCCCCGAGCCGGCGTAACAAAGGCCGCCGCAAATGCGCCAAATTTTACACGACGTATATATATAATTATACCGAAAATTCCGCTCGAAAGAACGACTAGGTTGGCTCGCTCCCGCTCGCCAATAATAATAGAAAATCCGCGCCGTTCGTACCACTAGGTTAGCTCGCTCCCGCTCGCCAATTATCATATACTGTGGATGCCTATAATATGCCTAATCTCATCAATCAAAAGATGTTAGCATGTCTTTGCCAAAGTTGGGCAGGCAGTCTTTTATGTACTCATTCATGTTAGCCACTAAGAGTGCCTCCTCCATACAGTCCATCGGTGTGGGGTCCAACTCCAGAAATACTTGTTGAAAAAGAAGAACACCTCTTCTGCATTAACCGCAGCTTTATGTATATTCTGCATCTCCATGGCTGACAGAATACAAATGTGGTGGACTTGTGTTTTTCCAGGACAGACCTTATTACGTACTTGTTCTGAAGGATCTGTGACCCATATGAAGGAGTTTACTGTTGGGATGTCAGACTTATTCAGTAGTTCTGTTGGCGGTCTAGCACCCGTTGCCTGAGGTAAAACATAGAGTGAAGAGTAAAAGTGTTCCTCTGGGTCGAGCACGGTGGTAAGATAGTCATGAAGGCCAGTAGAGATGGGAGCATGAAGTATGAACTGTATGAAATCTCGACTTGCAGCAATAAAGTTTCATACTCTTGTGGAGTTTGATACCGCTGGGTGAAAGGTTTGGCTTGTTTATCCTTAAGTTGGGTAGATTATTCATGGGCATCGAGGCCAAACTTGTAAAGTTACGCTCCGGTCGGCCTTGTAAACGGAGTGCGTGGGGGTGGAGGTTCTCACCACTTCGTGCATGTCAAGCTCGTCAAGGGCGTCGGCGTGGTGGGCGAGCTCGTCGGCGCCGTCCGGCGTCCGTGTCACGCCGCTGAACTCCTCAGCGGTTTCGATCTTCTCGAACGTGTGGATGAGGGTGTCGTTGTCGATGTCCTGTTGATCCAGCGCGACGCGACGCACGTCTTCCTTTGGCTTGCCGGGCAGTTCGGTGCCGCTCGGAAAGGACGACGACGCGTGGCGTTGCTGCGGGCTTCCCGGCGCAACTGGGCGGGATTCGGCCTGGAACGGCATGAGTTGGCCCCACAAAATGAGGGGCGGCACGTGGGCGCGCCGCGCCGTGCGCCGTACGCCGTGCCGGAACTGTTGCCAGAGGTCGCGCAGCGCGTTTTCGTCCCAGGGTCGGGCGGCCGTGACAATGCATCGAAGCAACTCTGAAAACGGTTTCGAGACATCGGATTCTCGTCCCAGCAACAACTGCGTCAACACTTCCAGGCGTGCCGTCATCGTATCCATCGTCGTGGGCGACGAACGGTCCTGCAACAGCAGGGAACTGAATTCCTGGCGCAGGGCTTGAGAAGCCGGCAGGGCCGATTCAAGCGCCCGCCGGGTTGGCGGCACGGCCACGAGCGTATGGAAGATGCGGAAATCCGCGGGCAGGCTCGGCGGCAGCGTGAAGGCCAGCTGGCGCGAGGTGACGGAATAGGCGACGCGGTACAGGTAAACGCGGGCGTTGTCGTTGGGGGTGGGTGCCAAGTGGATGGTTCGGGGCAGGTAAATGACCTCGCCGGCATAGCCGCCGACGTGCTCGGCCTCCTGGACCTCCAGGGCCTCGCCGCTCAGGGCGCGCGCCACCAGGGTCAGCGAGGTTTTCAGGTCGGCAAGCCTGGCTTCCCGTTGGCGCTCGGGCTCGGCAGCGGCGTGCCGGCGGCCGCGCTTGAGCTTCCAGGCGAGTCGGAAGAGCGCCTCGTCCCAGCTCACAGGATCAGGTTTGCCGTGTCTTGCAGGGCACTGCGGATGTCGTCGTCATCGGTCAAAGGCTCGATGACGCCGACGTGGCACGCCGTGCGCGGCGGCATGCCGGTGTGCATGAGACGGCCCGCGTGGGCCAGCAGGCGGGTGGAGGCGGTGGCGCTGAGGCCGAATTCCTGCAGATTACGCACCTTGCCGGCGAAGGCGACCAAGCGCTTGGCCATGGCCAGATCGATGCCGCTTTCCTGCGCTACGATCTCGGCCTCGACCGCCGGCTCGGGGTACTGAAAGCTCAGGCCCACGAAGCGCTGCCGCGTGGAGGGCTTGAGTTCCTTGAAGCCGCGTTGATAACCGGGGTTGAAACTGATGACCAGCATGAATTCGGCGGGGGCGGTCAGCGTCTCGTTCAGGCGGTCAAGATAGATTTGACGGCGATGGTCGGCCAGGGAATGCAGCACCACGACCACATCTTCGCGCGCTTCGACGATCTCGTCGAGGTACAGAATGGCACCCTGCCGGATGGCGCGGGTCAGCGGCCCGTCCTGCCACACGGTGTCGCCGCCCTCCACGAGGTGGCGCCCCAGCAGGTCGGTGGCGGTGGTGTCGTCGTGACAGGCGACCGTCACCAGGGGCCGTTCGGCCTTCGCCGCCATCGCCTCCACGAAGCGCGTTTTGCCGCAGCCCGTGGGTCCCTTGATCATCAGCGCCAACTGATTGCGATAGGCGTGCTCGAAGACCTCCACCTCACGCTGGATGGGTCGGTAGTAAGGAACGCTCATCGCACCGCTCAGGCGTACTCGGGGGTCGCCGACGCATTGACCTCGCCCACCGGCCAGCCGGATTTCACGAAGGTGTAGACAAAGGCCAGGATGCCAATGGTGAACAGGGCCGCCGCCAGCACGACGCCCCAGAAGTGCACCGCCAACTCCTCTTGGACGGCGAGAAAATCCATGCCCACCCGGCGTTCGAGGTAGACCTGCGTTACCCCGGCTACGGCGAAGGCCGCCGTCATGCTGACCATGCCGATGTTGGACGTCCAGAAGGCAAAGGCCGAAACGCCGGTGTTGTAGAGCTTGCGCCCGGTGAGCAGCGGCAGGGCGTAGGAAATCATGCCGAGCACCAGCATGGCGTAAGCGCCCCAAAACGCCAGGTGCGCGTGCATGGCGGTCACCAGCGTGCCGTGGGTGTACAGGTTGATCTGCGGCAGGGTGTGCGCGAAGCCCAGCACGCCGGCGCCAACGAACGACATGATGGCGCAGCCCACCGTCCACGACAGCGCCAGGGAGTTGGGGTGCCGCCGCCCGCCGCGCCGCACCATCGCCACCGCGTACGCCGCCATGCCGAAGAAGGCCAGCGGCTCCAGGGCGCTGAAGATGCCACCGATCCACAGCCAGTAGCTCGGCGTGCCGATGTAGTAGTAATGATGCCCGGTGCCCAGAATGCCGGACAGGAACGTCAGACCCACGATGAGGTACAGCCACTTCTCGATCATCTCGCGGTCGACGCCGGTCAGCTTGATGAGCAGGTACGCCAGGATGGCGCCCATGATGAGTTCCCACACGCCCTCCACCCACAGGTGCACCACCCACCAGCGCCAGTAGGAATCCATCGTCTGGTTGGTGGTGTCGATCATCCCCGGCAGGTACAGCAGTGCCGCCGACAGCAGCCCCATGAACAGCACGATGCTCGTGGTGGTGCGACGACTACTCCGCCACAGCGTTATGCCGATATTGGCGACGAACATCAGGACGTTCACCACCACCAGGTAGTCCAACGGGCGCGGGATTTCGAGGAACTTCCGCCCCTCCCACCACTGGAAGTGAAAGCCGATGATGGCCACCACGCCGACGAGCACCAGGCTGACGAGCTGCGCCACCGCCAGCGGGGTCGAATACAGTTCCTGGCCGGTCTCGTCGGGAATGATGAAGTGCGCCGCTCCCATGAAGCCGCTGAGCAGCCAGACGACGAGCAGGTTGAGGTGGGTGGGCGCGCGCCACGTTGAAGGGGATGACGGCGTGCAGCACGTCGTAGCCCACGTGCGCAAACGCCATGATGAAGCCGTAGAGGATCTGCAGGCACAACAGCAGCATCGACACCGCGAAGAAATAGTAGGCGATTCTCTGTGACTGGTATTTCATCAGTTGGTGCCCTCCCTGACCGCGCCGGGTTGCTTCATCTTGGACAGAAAGGAGGCGAGTTCGGCAATGTCGGCGCTCGACAGTGGCAGCTTCGGCATCGCCGTGTCGGGCTTGACCTTGTGCGGGTCGGTGAGCCACGGCACGAGGTCGTCGTAGGTGAGTCGGCTGCCGACGTCGTCCAGCGCCGGTCCCACCACGCCGCCCTGCCCGCCCAGGCTATGGCAGGCGATGCAAATTTGGTTGAACACCTTGGGCGGGGGCGAAACCGCGGCAACGACCTCCGGCCCCACCGTCGGCACCGTCACCGGCAGCAGGGTGGGCTTCGGGCGGGAAGCCATTGAGGTCCATCTCGCCGATCCACTTGAGGAAGGCGACCATGGCCTCCATTTCCTCGTCCGTGAAGTCGTACTTCACCATGCGCCGCTGGCCGGGATACATGGCCTCCGGATCGCGCAGCATGGCCTTGATGAACTCCGGCCCGCGCCGTTCGTACACCTTGGTCAGTTCCGGCGCGTAGTAGGCACCCTCGCCCAGGATGGTGTGGCAGCCCATGCAGTTGTTCCTGTCCCACAGGTGCTTGCCGGCGATCGCCTGCGGCGTCAGGTTGTCGGCGTTGGTCTGCTCCGGCACGCGGCGGATGGTGTCGAACGTCAGCAGCAGAAAGATGACCGAAAACCCAATGGTGCCGACCAGAAAGAACGCCCGTGCGGCGGATTTCGAAAGCATGATCTCATCTCCCAGGCCATAAGACATCCGTATGCGTTCAGGGACATCTACCCCGGACACACTTCAAGAGTCGGTATCTCGGACACGTCCACGGACTGCTGCGCAATCGCCAAATCGTATGCACGTTGCAGATTGACCCAGAAGCCGGGGCCGTTGCCGAACAGCTTGCCGAAGCGAACGGCTATCTCAGCGGTGACGGGCTGCTTCTCATTCAGAATGTCGTAAAGCGCCTGTCGGGATATCTTCAGGGCCTCGGCCACCGCTGCCGCTGTGGAAAGCGCCGGGAGAACGTCCTCGCGCAGGAGTTCTCCGGGATGCACCGGAGCCACGGAGGGATGTCTGTCGATCATTGGCCTCGTATCCAGTAGTTACGGATCGCCATGTGCCTGATGCTCTTGATCATGGCCGCAACGTGATGGTTAATGGCAGATCTGTCAGACGCTGTCTTGTCCGGTGTTGGCGGACGCCCCTAAAGCTCCCGCAGGTCGGCGACATACGTGGCCAGGGTGCGCTGACCCTCGACGGAAAATTTCCGGTCATAGTCGGGCTCTTCCTTGAGCTTGCCCAGGAACTCCAGCAGGTACAACCCCGCGCGGTCGGCGTAGCCCGCCTGGTAATCCCGCACCGACATGGCCAGCAGATCGTGGTAGCTCGCATCCACTTGGTCTTTGACCGCGCTGACGTGCGTCTCATACGCCGCGATCTGCCCCGGGCCTGGAGGCTCCGGCAGCGCCAAGGATCGTCCGGCGCTTTTGTCGCAACGAGCGACAACGTCCCAAGAGAATCCACGATATTCCCCAGTGCCGTCAGTATCGTTCGCTCTTCCACAGTTTTGCCTCCTCTAGTGTCCGGCGTGGCGGCCTGTCGACCCCCATTCCGGCGGGCGGATCAGCGCCTGAATTCATGTCAGAAACTCGCGTTTTCTATAGCCCATCCGTTTGTGAATGTCTACACATATTGCGACCTTTTCACACGTCCGGCTTTGTTGACACCCGCCCATGCCGCGTCTATAACAACGCACTATCAGGCTTTCCGCATGCTGGCAAACGATCAATGACGGGACCTTAGGAGGGGATGCTTCACATGACAGAGACGCTATCGATTGACGACCTGATTACAGCGTTGGATAAACAGGTTGAGACGGGACTGACACAACTTCGTCAGTTGGAAGCCGAGGGCACGATCAAAATGGGAGCGTACGGGCCGCGAGAGACGCTGTGCCAGATTGTGTGGTGGAGCGCAACGGCCGCCGACGGCATGGAATCGGTAGCCGCGGGCGGCACGCCGGTCCGCATCCATGCCCCAGACGACGAGATGGACGCCCGCGCGGTTGGCCGCTTTACCGGACGCACCGTGGCGCAGTTGGCTGATCAGATGGAGCAGGCACAGGCGCGCCTGCGCACCGCGGCGCGGAGCCTGACCGATCACAACACATCAATCTTCCAGCACGGCGACGGGCGGGTGGATTCAGCGCAGCAGTGCCTCGAAGAGTTGTCGCGCCGCTGGCAGGCATGTCTGGCGGAACTTCAGGCATAAAGCCACAGACCGCGAGCAGATTCCCCTAGAGCACTTGGGATGTTGACTACCAGAATTACAATGGCGCCGCGACAGGGAATGGCGGACTGCACCGACTCCAGCAATCCCTGCGCCATCCCGAATCCGGCTAAGAAATCGGCGGGCACCCCACTCAGGCCGTACCTTTACTGCCGGTGCGCTCAATGAGAACCGAGAGCGCTTCCAGTTGAGCATCTGTCTTCCGGTCCTGAGCATCCAGTTGCCGATCTCTTGCCGCCGATGCCAGCCGCATTTGTCGCAAGCCCGTCCATATCAGGGCACATTGCGCCAAGCCGACACCGGCCGTCACGACCACTTTTGCAGCAGTTGAGCCAAGGTGACAGGTTGAAGGTCAGTCACGTTCCCTCCGTTTGCACGTCCGAGTCGTAGCCTTCTCTACCCGCGCCGTCCAGAAGTCAGGAGTATAGAACGGAAAGAAACCTCGAAATGGCCTTGCGTAGTGGGATTTTCCGTGCGGCCGGGCGGTCGCACGGAAGCGGCTGGGCATTACGGCTTATGCTTGTCGATCAGCACGACCACACGCGGGTCGATACGGTCCTCCAAGGGCCGGCCGGCGTCGCTGAGGGCGATGCCGAGGTGAGCGTCGCGGGTTAGTTGGTCGAAATCGACGGAGCCGCGCCATTCGCTGTCCAGTTCGGCAAACAAGGCGTCCAGATGGTCCTTCTCAAACATCCCCTTCCCTCCTTCTGATACCGGAAACACAACGGGGCCAGCTAACCGCGCTGGCCCCGTGCGTTACTTCATTCGTCAAATCGTCAGTTGAAACCTACTCATCGCCGATGGTCGAATTCCCCTGATCCAGAATGACCTTGACCTGCTGCGCGAATTCCTGCAGGCCGCCCTCCTCGGGGACCCCTTCCTTCATCAGACGCTCCTTGAACTGCTCGAACAGCCAGTCTTCCTTGCGCCCGTGCGGGATTTCGAAGAACTGCCGGTCGAACTGCGGCAACTCGCCGGGGCCGTGGTAGCCCTTTTCCTTGAAGGTGTAGCCTTCCAACAGGTGCGTGCCCTTGCCGAGCACCTCGCCGGTCTCGACGAAGTGTTCCATGACGGCGGGCATGCCGAAGCGCTGAATCGGGCAGGTCTTCATGCACACGGCACAGCCTTCGTAGCGGGCCATCACCGGCCGGCAACGCTCGTAGATCAGCTTGTTCTTCTCGACACCGCGCCACCACACCTTGTCGCGCACGATGGCGCGGCCGGGGCAGCGATTGGCGCATACTTGGCAGCGCTGGCAGAACTCGTGAATGCCGTAATCGACGGGCTCGTCGTGCGTCACCGGCGCGTCGGTGGTGATCATCGCCAAACGGGCGCGCGACCCGAAGTGCGGCGACAGCAACTGGCCGTTGGCGCCGAGTTGGCCCAGCCCCGCGCTGACGAACATGGGAATATACGGAGCGCTGTTGTCATTGGGGCTGTGCACCTGCGCGTGGTAGCCCAGCGAGCGGATGTAGTCGGCCAGGTCCAGCAGGAACGCGCCTTCCATCTCGTAGGTGCCGAAGTGGGCGTACTCCGCGTCCATGCTGGGGATCGATTGCGTCTGCACGTAATCCTGTTCCAGGGCCAGGCAAATCGCGTGCGGGTATTTGGTCCAGCGTTTCTTGCGGGTGTAGGTGAAGCGCTTGTCGTGCTTGGTGAAGCCAGCTTCGTTGAATCCCAGTTCGCGGGCTTTGCTGCGAATGGCCTCGGTGACGTTCAGCTCCGGGTCCGGCGTGCCGGTCGGCTCGAGATCGCCGGAAACCGCGGCAGCGTCGATGAGCGGCTCGCTGACTTCATCGTGATAGCGCCGGTAGGCGGCCATCTCGTCGCTGTAGACCGTCCATACCCACTCGCGGTCGGCGGCTTTCTCGATGTTCTGCGTTTCCTGAGGATACACCCGGCTGTAAAAGCTGAGGTCTTCTTCCTTGAGAGGAATTCCAGGTACAGTGGCGAGTTCTTCGGCAACAGGAATGGTGACGTCCGGATCACCCTGTCGCCTTCCCGGTCGTGTTACCACGTGACTGACTGGCTTTGCCATCTTAACCCTCCCTACGCAATTCCAAGAACGATGGACCGATATGAGGCCGCCACACTATGCCTCTGCTCCAGGTGAGTCAAGCAAAAACAACGCTTTGCTTAACGGCCACGGCGCTTTAGGCGGCCAACCTGAATTACGCTATACTGTCGCCGCTCCCGAACCTGGAGCCGCACACCCTCACGCAAATCCTTAACGGAAAGGACACACCATGGCAGGTGAAGTGGGTCAGACGGCGCCTGAGTTTACCCTTCCATCGACCGGCGGCGACATCACCCTGAGCCAGTACCGCGGGCAAAAGCACGTGATTCTCTCCTTCCACGTTTTCGATTTCACCGGCGGCTGAACCGAGCAGGCGGTCTCCTTCCGGCGTATTCACGACCGGCTGGAGGAGCTGGATACCCAGGTGCTGGGGATTAGCTGTGATCACGTTGCTGCGCATCGGGCCTGGGCCGCCACCATGGGCGGCTTGCCGTACCCGGAGATGTCGGATTGGCACCCGAAGGGGCAGGTGGCGCAGGCGTACGATCTGTGGAACGAGGAGCGGGGCACCTCGCGGCGCGGGGTGATTATCATCGACAAAAACGGCGTCATCCGCTACCGGCAGACCTATTCGCCGGGCATCCTGCCGGACCCGCAGGAGATGCTGCGCGTCGTCGGCGAATTGGCGTAGCGGCGCGTGCTTGAAGGAGAACCAGCGTGGCGAGCAATTGGCAGGAAGAAACGATACGCGTTGCGGGCCTTGACACCCAGGTCTTCAGCGGCGGCAGCGGCGAGCCGCTTCTGGTGCTGCACGGAGCCGGCGGCAATCCGGGCTGGATGCCGTACTGCGAGGCACTGGCAGCACATTTTCGGGTGATCGCCCCGTCGCACCCCGGTTTCGGCGCCTCGGACCGGCCCGACTGGATGGAACGGGTGCACGATCTGGCCTATTTCTACCGCTGGTTCATGGAGGACCAGGGGCTCGGTCCGCTGCCGGTGGTCGGCTTTTCCATGGGCGGCTGGCTGGCGGCGGAAATGGCCGCCATGTACCCGGCGCTCCTCAGCCGCATGGTGCTGGTCGGCGCCGCCGGCATGAAGCCCCAAGACTCTGAAATTACCGACATCTTTCTGCTGAGCACCGAGGAAATGAACGCGCTGCGGTTCTACGACACCACGCAAGTGCCGGACTACGACGCCCTGTTCGGCCAGGAGCCGACCGACGAGGCTCGTCAGACCGCCGCTTGGGACCGCGAAATGGCCGCCCTGCTGACCTGGAAGCCCTACATGCACAACCCCAAGATGCCCCACCTGATGGCCCAGGTGAAACTGCCAACGCTGATCGTCTGGGGCAAGCAGGACGCCATCGTGCCGGTCGAGTGCGGCGACCTGTACCAGCAAGCCATTCCCGGTGCCGGGCTGACCGTGATCGACCACTGCGGCCACTCGCCGCAAGTCGAAAGGCCCGACGCATTCCTCGCTGCCGTTCTGCCCTTCCTCACCGCGGATTGATGGGATAAGGAGACGACGATGGTCGATGTCTACTACTTCACCGAAATGCCCTACGCCGCCTTCGACGAAACGGAAGCGGAGCGCTATCCCTCCATGCGCCTCACCTTCCCCAACTCGTACTTCGACGCCGACACGGCGCACGGCTTGTTCAGGGACTATTTTGACCAGTATCAATGGGCCGAAGAGGTGGGGTTCGACGGCCTGATGATCAACGAGCACCACAACACGCCGTCGTGCATGGACGTGGCGGTCAATCTGTCCGCCGCAGTG